ATATATATATATATATGTTGGTGACATTATCTAAGCTTTGACTCAAACAATTTTGATATCACCCTCTCTGAATTTCCTAATATGTGATGTTTTATATAATTGCTGTAAGATAGTATGAGTAGCATCAAAGCTACTTATTTACTCTTTTTTACTTTTGTTCAAAGAATTAATAAAAAATATAGTGTGCCTACCATAGAAAAATAATTCTCATGGACAAATTTCATATACTGAATGACATTATATGGCATTATGGGAAATTGAGTAAGATTAGAATGATTGCTTAAAATAATCAGATCTCACTTTGGGGGTTGAGGTTTACCCTAGTGCCACTGCACATAAAATGGATGTTGGAGAGTTAATTAAATACATATGAGCACAAACTTTATTTGTTCCTAAACTTGTTAGATTCTGCTGTACACATTACTCTGATCCTATAACTTACTTTCATATTATGAATAATAAGGACTGCCATTTAGAAGATGGCAGTATGAAGTTGTCACACACATACTCTTCCCCAACTTCCCTCAGAAATCATAAGTAAGCAACAAGGAAATGTCAATTCTATCTTTGTCAAAACAAGGTTAATGCTGAGAGTCCAAACCATGAAATATGAAGATGATTGCCACAGTCATTACAGATCAGCCAGAAGTGCAGGAGAAAATGTAAGGAAAACACACATAGTGAACATCTTTGGATGAACTTAAGAAACATATTTGCCTCCCAGATAGAGAAAACCCTAAAGTACCATCCTAAGAATCCTTGTCTGTGATAGCAGAGTCAAGATGTTAGACTTTGAGCAAGTACTTTCTGTATCATCTTTTTTCATCTTTTCCTCCACTAATGAAAAAAATGCAAAAGTTTGAATAATTCACAAAGTTACTTCAAACAGGAAATGTTTACTAGTTTGTAACATGACCAGGTCTCCACCTCCAATGAACTTCATGAAAGTAGTTTTCCAAGGACAAAAAAAAATTTATTCAAGTTAAGCAATAGGTAATATGCATACAAGGGCATTGCAAGAAAATAAAAAACATAAAAGGACGTTTATAGGAAAAGCAAAATAGCAAAAAAGAAAACATAACAGAAAGATATAGTCATGAATGGACAAAAATATAAAATATTTTTGATTAATTTAAAAAAGAAAAAGAAATCACAACAAAAACATAAAAGCTCAAGGAAGAAATAATCAGAAGTAAGCTATTAAAAAAGTTTTTAAAAAGTAGAAAAAGAAAGACCTTACAGAATTTGAAGTGAAATTTATAGCAACCCAACTCTGTTGAAAACATGCTAAAGGACAGAGAAATCCATAATAATAAATATACAAAATGGAAAGAAAATATGTTTGAAAAATCTAAAACCTAAGGTAAAAAAACACAGCTAAAGATTAAAATTAATAAAATGTACTTAACTGGAATTCTTTAAAAAAATAAAATAGAAGGGGATTTTTAACAACCTAGTTACTGAACATTTTCAGAAATAAAAGAGATCTAATTGTACAAATGGAAGGAAATATTGAATTTTAGAGGAAATAAAATACTAGACATGGAAGACAGAAGAAGGAAGTAGAGGAGGCAGAGGAGGAGTATTAGAAAAAAAGGAAACCAAGCAGAGTTTGCTCTCTGTCTCTCTTCTTTCTGTGTCTCTACCTTTCCCTCTTTCTCTTTTGAATGTCATTTTGAACTTACGGATTCTGAAATAACTAAAAATTTTTAGATCATGAGCATTATGGAATTTTTCTTGTCACTCAAGAAAAATATTCTTTTTCAGAACTTAAAGGAACCATTCAGTATTTAATCTGATTTAACATCTGGATTTTTCTTTTTGTTACAGAAAACTCAGAATATTTTTGAATTTCAAAAACCTTCATACTCATTTAAAGGATGCCATTATACTAGATTATTATGTTTCTGGATTTATGTGGGCTAAAGGAATGGATTTTTCTGTTACTCAGTATTCAAAATTTATGACTTTACTGGATATGTTACTTCATAATCTTAGAAGTAAGTATACTACTATTCTCTTTTTCAAGAAAAGGAAATTTAGTCTACCATCCAAATTAATATACAAAAGCTCTTGGTTTTCTTATAATGTCTTCAGTTTCTTATCTGGTTATTTCAAAGATATGGTTCATCTCTTCAGTGAGCTGTAAATCTTCAAATAATACTTTACAAGGCTAAAGTTCTCTTAACAATCAATTTGCCAAAGATATGCTAATTTCATTTTCAAATCTTATCAGTCCCATCCACCCTCCAAACACCTGGGGACTCTATATAATATTTTTGCAACTTTTCTACATATCTAAAAGTCTTCTGAAATCAAAAGTCCTAAAGTATTTAGCCTGTCTCTAAAATGGAATACTTTACAGCTAGAAAAAGAAAAGAATGAGGAAGATTTCTAAGTTTTGTATGGAAGGTTATGATATTATTAAGTAAAGCAAAGTGGAAAAAAACTGTGTGCTTTAAAAAAGAGACAAGAATAAGAACTTATGTTTTTGTTTATATATAACAAAGTTGGAAGAATACAGAAAAAAATAATAAAAATTACATTTGGGGAAGGGTAGTGGGCATGTGGGTAAGAAAGGTTGGAAGAGATCTTCTCACAATATATCTGCATATGTATTTTTTGAAACAAGAAAATATCACCTTTGCAAAATTAAATTTTAAAAGAGAATTATGACATGGCAGCAGCCTTTGTTCAGAGTATTCATAAACTAGAGACTAGAGGGAAACAAAAACTCATGGACCTCACATTCCAAATTTGAGAAAATATTTCCATTTTAAACATTTTCCATACCTTATAACTGATTCAAGAATATTTGTTGTAGGCAATCTTATATATTGTCGATATCAGTTCAAAATGAATTTCTAAAATTTGAACGGGGTCCATCCAACTACTCATAAACCATGAGAGAGTAAAAATACACACATAGAACCAGTAAAGAAGAAGGAAATCTAATACTTTTTTCTAGTAGAAAAAAATGTATTCTTTCAAGCCTTTGGACTCAGCAAGGCTATAGACACCATCACAAAGCACGCAATTTCAGTTTGTTTACATGTTCAAACGGGTGAGGTCTGTTTATGTTTAAATGAGTGGTGGCAGGACCTAAGCACATGGTCATCTTGCCCATTCAGCCACAGCTTAATAGGAAAAGCCAGAGAACACAGTCCTGGCTGTTTGTTGTGTGGCCCACACAGTGTGGAACTGCATTTCAGCCTAATTCAGTTTCTGATCTGATCCATGTCTCCAACTTCCCTGCATATCTACATGAATTCTGTAGACAACCCACCTAGAATCAGATTAGATCTCCCTAAAAGATTATGGAACATAGGGTCTGTAGAGTTGTCTTGACAGTTGGCCCTCAGGGATTCTACCAACTGTAGATTGAAAATTGTGTCTGTGTTGGACATGTGCAGCCTTTTTTTGGTCATCATTCCTTAAACAATAGAGTCTAACAGCTCTTTACCTGGCATTTACATTGTATTAGGTATTACTATTATCATTGTCATTATTGTTAGGGAGACTGCACATAGGTTACATGTAAGTACTATGCCACTTTCTGTAACATCTGCAGATGTTGGTGTTCTTGAGGACTCCTGGAAGCAGTGCTCTGCGAATGTTAGGAAGGAGTCTTATTTTCCTAGGATCTGAACAAAGATGCTGGTAGACTACTAGAGAGAATGGATATTTGTCTCTTATTAGGTCCATAGGCCTAGATTGACTCCCTGATGTACAACTTGACTATTAGTATGTAACTACCAAATCATTTTTTAATTCCTATGATGTTAAATTTTTCCCCAACTGTAACTATAACTTGTAGCATTTATGTAGCATTAGCTTGTGCCAGTCACAGCATCAATTGCCTTACAAATATGTTTTATTTAATTCACACACAATCTTATGAAAAAAGCAAATAAGGGTCGGAGGGGTTAAATAAAACTTAAGGTCAGATGGGGTCAAACTCAGCAAATGAGAGCCCATCCACTTGACCGTTATATCAAATGTGCCTAGCTTCAGCTGAATGCTAGAAAGCACTTCTCAGTTACAATGTATATGAATATTAATCTTTTCAGTCTACCAAGCATTTCATGTGCATTTCTTATTTCATCACCACAACAACTCTGTAATTTGAAAATAAGTGCTCTTGTTTTACAAATAAAGGAAGTGAGAGTTGGGTCACCTACTTAGCAAGGGTCAGTTATGAGGTAACACCCTAAGTTCTCCTGTTAATTTTAAGTCTAGCGTTTTCTTTCATTACCCTAGATTTTCAAGAATAAATTTTATTTCTAGAAGCTTTACTATTTAATTGGTTTAATCTTTAATAGTTTAATCACATCACTGAATGTGATTTTTAAAAGAGCAAATATTTCAGCTAGATAAGTGAAATGATAACTTTCATAGTTTTTAACACAACAATAGAAAGGCATTAGGCATAGAGAAACAGTTTTAAAGAGTTGGTTATTTTTCAACGTAAGGAAATAGTCTTATAAATGTATTTTGTGTTTGATAAGTATAATTTCATCTAGAATTACAGTCAATTATCTAAGAATTTCTTTTCTTTGCATCTCTAATTAATACCACTTTATTAATAAAATAATTCAGAATTTTCCATTCATTTATGAATTACCCTTATCCAGCAGATTTTTCATTTCTAAAGTTACTACTATTTGCAAAAAAACATTTATGACAGATAGGGAAATGTACAATTGAGTTAAATTCCACTTAGATTAATATAGGAAAACCTAGCTATCCAGCAACAATTCAGTATATCTGACATCCATAAAAATCATCTGGAGGGAGGATATGAGAAGTGAACCAGCTGTTTCACTTAACCAGATTTTAGTTTTTACATAGTTTTATGCTGCTTTCTAATTCTAGAAGTACCCATTCTATGGGGTACATAGAATGTACATCCTAGAAAGAAAGAGTAGCTATGTAATCCAGAAGAGGCTGGATCCAGCAATCAGCATATAGTCTCCCAGCTTTATTTTTATCTCCATCCCCACCACCACCCCAGATCCATTCAATTTCAGGAAGTGAAACATTTACTGATGATTTTCTAGCAGGCACAGTTCCCTCAGATCACTTGCCTAGGTCCCCTACTAATATTCACCTCCTCCTAACAACCAGCCCAGCCTCCATTTGCCCAGAGCCTTTCAACTCTTCACTTCCAGCCACCTTGGTTTAATATACCAACTATTGTCAGCAAAGGTCCCTCCAGACGCTCCATTTACCTGAAGCCATCTTCCAAGTGAGTGGGGAGAGTGTATGTGTTGATATTTTGATTCCACTAGTGAAAACAAGCATAATTTATATGCTCTATAAAATAAGAAAATATAATAGAAATTAATATTTTTATTATAGACACTATGAAAATGAAGTCTAAGGTTTTTGACATTTATCTACTTCTTCCCCAATTGGCCAAATGCCACAGAAGATAGTCCAGAGTATTTGTTTTTGTTTGTTTGTAGCTGTCAGTAGATAGATAGGAATCACAGAGCTGTTCATTGTGGGTGATGGTGGTACAGCTGTCATTCTTTTGTGCCCTTCCCTCTGGCTCTTGCCAGCCTCACTAGGCACACAGTTAAGAAAAAGTTTAGGAGTTATGAGTCTGTAGCTGTAGAAAAGAAAAAGATGTCTTGGTATTCTACATAAAATGCATATTGCTATTGAAAATCTAGTTCCAATTCTCACATAATGATCAGCTACTGTCAATTGTTAGTGGACTTTGCTCACTTACATTTTTAGCTCTGAGCTGTCTACATCACTGAACCTACTGTCTGGGTCTCCTCACCAGCTAAGTCAACCAGCTTTCCTATAATTTTATATATCCTTTTTTCTAAGATCATTTTTAAAATAATCATTCCATTAAACTCTTACATGGATTTTGATTTTCTTTTTCATTTTAAAATGGAAATATAGGCCAGGCACAGTGGCTTGAGTCTGAAATCCTCACTACTCAAGAGGCAGAGATTGGGAAAATTGGAGTTGAAGGCCAGCCTTGGTGAAAATTTCAGACTACCCCATCTCAACCAATGGCTGGACATGGCAGTGCATACCTGTCACCGCTCACCTACACAGAGAAGCCCATATAGTAGGATCACAGCCCAGGCATAAAGACAGGCCTAGCTCAAAAATTACCAAAGCAAGGAGTGAGTGACTCAAGTGACATAACACCTACCTAACAAGCATAAAGACCTGAGTTCAACCCCCACACACACACACACACACACACACACACACACACACACACACACACATACACACACACACACGACAGTTGTGTAGCATTACAGTAATTTACAGTGATTGGATGAATTACTGCCATTCTTGACACAAAATGTAATTATTAATTTCTTTTGAAGAAGCAGCAAGTTTTACCATTTGTCCTCAAAAATGCTGAACAAAGAAAGTTTTGGCATACTTAATACATCTTGGATTATTTTACTCCTAAAACATCTATTGAAATAATGCTTAAGATTTCCCTGGATTTCATTTCAGCCCTACATATGTCCTTAGAAGATAGCATAAAGTGGCTTGGGGAAGTTATGGCTGAAATTGGACCAAGGCATTCACAAAAAAAAAAGGAATGGAATATTTTTGATGTAAAACAAGCCAATGCTATCATTGATTACTTAAAAATCAGGTATGTATTTTAGTAGCATTTATTTTTAATTTGATATCTTCTAGAAAATATATATTAAATAAAAAATAATTCAGTTTTTAGCAAAGTCAGATGCTTACAGAATCTATGCAATTAACCCCACCACTAAGCAGATAATGTTCAAATTTTTCATGTAGTAAATAAAATCAGGATATTTAGCATTTCAGTTAATGCTTCATTCTTAAAAATGGTTTGTGGAACTGGAGGTATGGTTCAAGTGGCAGAGCACCTACTTCACAAGCATGAGGTCCTGAGTTCAAACTTCAGTGTCACCAAAAAAATGAAATAGTTTTTGTTTGATAAACATGATTTTTCTAGAACTATAATAAATTTCCTAAGAATTAAATTTTTCTCTGCATCTGTAATTAATAGCATTTTATTAATGAAATTATTCTTTCTGATTAATCAGATGTAATTATTGTAGATTCTATAGTCTAGGTAAATGACCTTTCCAACTACTTAACTTTACATTTTAAAGAGCCACATTTATTTCCATTTAAAAATTTAAGTGCTTTGTGTTAGAAATGGAAGAGGTTTATAATTTCCTCAAGTTTATTATGAACCCTAAAAAATTTTGTACTGTTGATCATTAAACTCATTATTAAGTCTCTCTACTTAGAAAGTGATGGTGGACGGAGGGAAAGTTTTTATTACAGTGATTCTTCATTGGTGAACTAAGATACTTGTCTTTTTATGTAGTCTGTTGCAAAGTCCACATTTGAGTCATATAAATATTCAAATAAGAATGGATGAAAATCTCGTTTTGCCTAACTAAAAGTTTCTGCACAATATCCTCATTCCTTTTATCCTATATACTCCAATATTTTGCAACATTACAAATTAACATTCTGAAACGAAGAGTGCCAAATATCCTAGAAAGCCTCATGATTTGCTTGGCAAAGATCCTGACTGTAGTCTGGAAGCTCTATAAATATTAGTGTGTTTAATATGGTAAAGCTTATATACTGGCAAGAATTAATAATGGCATGTGATATAATATTTTTATATAATTGCATTTGACATAATGTGATTTCTCAATATAAAAACATACCTCCTAATGAGTGATTCTCACTAAAAGTCACAGTAGTTTTCCTATCGATTAGAACAAGACACAGTCCTTGTGCTAGGGGAGGGAAGGGACTGGGAAATGGAGAACTGGATGAGAACCAAGTTCTTTCTGCCCATCAGGGTTTGAGAGTTGCAAACCCTGATGCACATTTGTGTTTGCATCCTTCTTTATCTTCTCCCTCTATTGGAACAAGGCAGGTCACTCTCGCAGAACACATTTTACAGCTGAGCTCTAAGCCCAGGAGGTTTATAATGGGCACTGGGACCAATAGTTAACCATAGCAGCAAAACCTACATAAGCCCCATAATGATGCCTTCTTAACAGTGAAGAATGGCTTTTCTTTTTCCCTCTCATCTCATCTCTCTAGGAAAATGTTCATCAATGTATTTCTTAACATTTTCTTTCAGATAATGGCTAAGTTAGGAGATATGTCAATGTTAGTTAGTAGGATCACTTTTAGATCCTACTAAGGTAACCTCATATACCAAAAATCTCTAATCCTATACCTCAGAAAAAAGTAATATTTAAGAGATTAGCCAAAAAGTATACCAGAACTATTTCAATGCTGGTAAATCTTCATTTTGAGATTTCAAAGAAATTATGCATTTTAAATACCCCTATTACAGAAAGATAAAATATCCTTTCATCGAATATCTGGAATTGATACTGAAATTGTGTGAAGAGAAATGAACTTTTATATAACACCTGTTCAGAATTCCTCATAGGTCTACAAGTGTAAATTTAGAGGCAATTAAACTATAAAATACATTCATTTTGATGACCACATGGCGCTTTTATAAATATGAAGGTAACTTGATTACCATAAGTGTGTGTGTTTCAATTTAAGTTAATATTACATTTACCCAACCACTCAAAATCTTACTCAATTTAAGGAGAGCAATTTTTGGAACATGACCTATCAGCACATGAAACTTAACTTGGAAATAAGCTTAAATTTCATTGGATGTTCTTAATACAGTCTAAATTGTATACTCTATGATGTGTCTTTGACTTGAAAAAACTAATACCAAAATTTTTCCCACACGTTATTATAATTACTGCTATAACCTACTTGTGCAATATATACAGTTGCGTATATCATATAATGCATGCAACTATAAATACAAATATGAATGCCACTGAAGATTTTTAACATAAATATCATACATATACAATATATATATATATATATATATATATATATATAGTCCAAACACACTTCTTTTATTGTATATTCTACCTATTCCCTGAGAATTAGGCATATACCCAATATAAAAAAAATCAGTCCTGCCTGCCCTGTGCACAACTGCATATTGCACTTCCTGACATGGAACCAAGCACCTTGATTTGTTTTCATTTCATCTCCCTTGAATTTAGAACTAACTCTATGTACGTGACAAAATAGCCTTGAGACAAGCTAGAGTCTAAAGGAAGAGAGCAGTCAGGCACTTGTGGCTCACACCTGTAATCCTACTTACTTGGAAGGCTGAGATCAGGAAGATCAAGGATCAAGGCCAGCCCAGGCAAATAGTTCCAAAACAACCAAAGCAAAACTAACTGGAGATGTAGTTCAAGCGGTATAGCACCTGCTTTGCAAGCATGAAGCCGTGAGTTCAAACTGCAGTCCCAAAATAAATAAATAAAATGAAGAGAGAAAATGCATTCCCACAGCTGAAGTGACACTTTGTTCTCATGCAAGACCATCTAATAGTCCCTGGGGAAGATGGAGACGGAAGCTAAACAAAAGAGGAGATTTGACCTACACATGGGAAATTACCACCTTAGGGTCCCAACCTTGGGTATATCAAGCTAGCCCTTGCCGAGCCCACAATCCAGCATTTTTTACCACCATAACTAACTTATGTTATTTTCATTGTTTAATTTCTCTTTGGGCATGAAACAATCTAATTCCTATATGCAATAAGGAAAATAAGGCTGAATAATTATGAGACTACAGGAAGAAATGTTAAGTTCTTTGTATGATACAAGATGGAGAAAGGGGAATTTTGCTTTATTACACTTACAGGATAACAAATTTCCAAAATATAGTCTTAAAATTTTCACTCAACATCAGCTATTGCCTGTGTAATATTTTTGACTTTATATCTTTCTCTAGGTCACCAGTGTAAAGGGGAGAGAATTTGAATTTATTTTGCTTCAATGGATTATCAAACTTCACTAATCTAATGTATTTTTCTAGCCAGAAAATCAAAGCCATATCAAAAGCTAAGTTAGTTTTGTGATGTTGATGAGTAATTCAAGTGTACAAGGGTTTCTTTAAAAAAAAAAAAGCCATGTCTGAGTCCACACACCCATCACTTTTTAATGGATTGTGTTAGTAGTGAGATCAACTGCTAATATAACTCAGAGGGACCCAGCTGCCTGAGGATTTCTTCATTGATTTCAAATGAATTGAAACTTTGATCCATTACAGCATTCAGGAGAACCCATTATTATACATGCTCTGTAGCTACATTTTGCAAATGTTAATTTCTCAGTTATATTAAAATCAATTTTCTTAAATAGCAAAAGGCACCAGAGTGAAAGAGAAACCACTAAGACAATTTTTTTTTCTTGGGCATTTTGCTGTATTATGAGTCTATTAATTTTCCCAACCAGCAGGAAGAGAATTAGAAAAATTCAAATATTATCACAAACAGGATATTAGAAGTCAGCCCTTCAGTAAAATTTTAACTTTGAATGATACATTGCTGAGCTCTTTAAACTTGCTAGAAATATTTATTTTCAGGAAATCCTATCCTTTGACTTTCTGTAGTTTTTATTCACTGGCCACCTAGTTCTAAGGTAAGAAGAAAGGAAATGATCAGACTTAAATTTATTCCACCCTTTGATGTGTGACTGAATATTCTGCAGGAGAATCAGACATCCTCTAAATGGATTTTGGTTCATGTTGCATCATTTTTCATGAGTTATTGGAGATTAATTTAATCTTGAAACAGTTTGGCAATGTAAGAAGTAATTGATGTTGAAGTAGATTATAGCATCCAGTGCTATTCATACCAGAGTAAATTGACTCCAGTTTGGAGCAAAACATAAATAATGAGAAGTTTGATGTTATTTAGGGATGGTGCATCGTTTGGTTTGAGGCTAGAAAAAGTTCAGATGCAATCTAATTGCTCCCTTATCCAAACCTATCCAATCATCACACATGGATTTACCGACATTATTCTAGGTACTACGTTATATTGTCAATATCTCAAAAAGTTAAAACTTTCATTCCCTAGAATTTCTGAACAACTTACTTGGGAATAAAGGAAGCAGCTAATTTTATATTAATGTTTAATGTCTTTAGCTTAGTCAGTATGAGTTCTTTAATAAATGCTTTTTATACATTTTCTTTTCTCCTGAAATTTATAACTATTGCATATTTATTTTGTTTTTCAGCTTATTTCAACACTACAAGTTATATGAGTTTATGTTTTACTCTACAAGGGAAGAAATTGTGATAGGAACTGAGGTAAGTAATTTATCTAGATGGAACCAATTAAGCTGAATCACTTAATGCATGCTGATCAGCATCTGGATCTTCAACTGCTCAGAGCAACTTCTTGTCAAGATTATTCAAGTGTTAATATAACCAACTAGTAACTGGCAAAAGAATAACTATATAAAGTGAGCTTTGGATTAAGAAAATAAGCTGTCTTTTGGCATTAAGAAGCATTGTTAGTCACATATACTTAAGAATTTATGGATTATTTGACAAAGCTCAATTGAATAGGGCCTGTATGTCTTCATACAAATAAAACCAGGAAAAATGAGATAAATTAATTCAGTTAAATCTCTTCTAATTTCTCATTGCTTTTCAGTCTACTCATTTTTTAAGGCCTAATTCAAATTCCACTTCCTCAGGGAAGCAAACCTACCTTAATTGCAATCCTATCTCAGACAAAGGATTTGGACAAATTCTCAAATAATAGTCTACGATTTTATTTTAATTGGTCTCTCCCTGCTGAAATTTGGGTACTATTAAACCAATAAGCACATAAACATGCATTGTTATATAGCTTTATAATTGTTTTTTATGGATTGATAGAGTCAACATAACTAAACAGTCATTTTCCTAAAGGCAAGGATGATTTGCTATTTTTCTTTGATGTGTGACAGCCTATATCATCAAATAGAACACAGTAGCCACTCAATTAATACTAAGAGTAAGCTATGAAGTGCCAGTTCACAGAACAGAATTTCTACAATAAATGGTCTAAATATGTCTTACATATAAGGACATATTTGTGATTACTAGGAATGAATCTCAAGTACAACAAGGTCTTAAGGAGACTATAGATGCCATAAAAAGTGCTCCTGTAGTTTCTCAATCACTTTGTGAGGCTTCATTGTCTTCTCCAAGGATTAGAGACAGGAATGATCATATCAGAAGTAACATGAATTGCATCTTTATAATTTTCCTGATATTAAGTATCAAATAGAATGGAAGATTCTGTCCTGAATGTTATTTGGAATTTATAAGTTGCTTACTTCAAAACACCTCAGTCCTTGGTTCCTGCTCTCCATTTGAATATGAATGCACACCTCTTAAAAGTGTGCTGTGGTAAAACAGGGAACTTTTTTGCTTTTGCCTTTCCTTTAAGTTTCTACTTTGCAGTCTCCTCAAACTGTAGCTTAAATTGTCACTTAAAGTTTCACTGAAAACATTTCCATTTCAGAATTAGATTCCATACTGTGATAGCATTGAAATAATTATTTCATATACCATATATTGCCATATATCTTAATGTATTCAGCAAAACGTTGGGGAATGAGACTGGTTTGAACAGTAGCATAAGTAGATATTTGGAGTCATCAAGAAAAAATTTCAGAACTCCCTTTCTCTTTGTTAATTGAATAATCATGCCTTTATTCTATATTATAAGGATATATTTAGGTGAGATTTGTCCTCATGGAAAAATAAAAATGGATGAAGTAGACACAGATTGGCTCATTTATTTTCCATTTTCTTTTGTGCTTTCCCCAAGCTTCCTAGAGCTGTAAAAAAAATTCTGAAGGAAAGGTATTGGGTCTTTAAGAATTAGATTGCTCATAGAATTTTAAATGATTAACAAAAGCAAATATTATATTGCAATATGTCATGACATTTTAGAGGTGTCTGCTAACTTTTGATGCAAATGTCTGTTTTTTAATTTTCAATCTTTTGTGGAGGAGCCTGGCCTCTACTGTGCAATTATTCATGCTGATCTCAGCACTCTGGAACCAAACAAGGGTCACATGACAATCAAATGAATGCTTCAAATTTCACTCTCAGACAAACATTCAAGTTAGATAGCACTGATGAAAGTCAGTTTCCTTCCTAATTGTACATAAGTCATTAGAACAAAACATAAATGCCCTTTTTTCATGGAAGCATTCAGTTCATAAATGAAAACAGAATAATAAAACAGAAAATCACCATTCTTCAACTCCTAATGAAATAACAGTATCTTCTCAATGCAAAAAGAGAAAAACCAAGCATTTGCCTCCTAATAAAATGACACAAATCACCTATGAATTGTTCTTGAAGATATTTAAACTGGCCAGTCTCTTGATTGTTCTTCTAACACTAACTACTCATTTACTGAAAATATGGAAGATAAAGGAGCATATAATAGGGATGTAATTAACAAACCAGACTGTGAGAAACTCTTTAGAAAATGTGGAATCTTCAACAAGGAAATTTTTTTAATGTATGGGGTGAATTTATGTATTTAAGATGACTTGAATCTAATTGCAACATATCTTTTTGGAAGGTATGTTATTGTTTAGATATGTGTTAAGTGCAGTCCGCTAAAAGTTCCTTTGTTGGAAACTTTGCCCCCAATGTGGAGATGTAGGCACTGATAGAATCTTTTAGGAGATAGGGACCTAGTGGTATGTCCTTAGGTCATTAGGTCTGTGCCCTCAGAAGGAATTGTGAAACCCCCAGTCTCTCTCTGGCTTCCTACTTCAACATGTGACCTTTTCCTTGAATGCATACTCCAGCCATTGTGGCACCACCCACAACCTTCCATAAGGTACCCACAAGAACCAAGCATGATGCCCTTTATCTCCAATACTATGAGCTAAGTAAACCTTTCCTTTATAAAGTTCGTCTGCTTCAGCTATTTTGTTATAGCAATGAAAAACAGATTAATATGCCCTATCAAAATACCAACACAAACAGTTATGAGATGGTTGGGGGCATTTGAATGTTGCCTGAACATTTGATGGTGAATGCATACTAATTCTAGGAACTTGCTGATATGTTACCTTACACGGCAAAAGGAACTTTGCAAATTTGATTAGGATAAGGAATTTGAGATGGGGAAATTATTCTGTATTGCCCAGCAGTGCTCAGTGTAATCAGATGCTTCCTTATTAAACAAAAGGGAAGGTAGAGACAGAGAGAGAAGTTTTGGAGACACAAGTGGCCTTGGAGATGAAGAAAGAGGCCACGACTTTTTGCATGTGATCTGGGAATAACTTTCTATTGTCTTGTTTTTTAAATATTTGCTTAAATATTATTTTTATTCTTCTTAAACACAAAATTTAGAACTAAAATAATTTACATGTGGATTTTTAGTATGAGGCAAATACAAGTAGTAAAGCAGCATTTAAATCCACTGGGGTAATTGGTTATATGTTTGGTTAAAACATATATAATACACCAAATTTTTAATGATTTCTTTTTTAGCAGCACTGGGTTTGAACTCAGGTGTTCATGCTGACTAAACAAGCACTCTACCACTTGAGCCACTCTACCAGCTCCCAAATTTTTAAATGAGTCCAGTTTATTAAGAGATCCATTTCCCTTAATGACAGGCATATTCCATAATGCAAAACTATAAATTGGCCTATTATGTTCAATGGGAACAACAAAATATTTTTTGGAATCTTAAACATTTGGAAGTTCAGCTAACCACAAAAACATTATATATCCAGAAGATAAGTGTGGCATTTGGAAATGCTTTCTACCTATAAGCATGCAAGTTTAGAAAAGCTGACTAAAAGACTTAGAAGCTGAGAAGTAGAGATTTAGAAAACACCTGAAGCCAGGAGAACAAAAACTGGAAGGGGAGGAGGATATAGTTAATCCCCAAAGTTGTACATTAGATTGCAAAGGGCCACATTTTAGGATTTCAGTCCTTATTTGGGCTAAATTCAGTTTCATATTGTGTTAAGTTTCTGGTGTATTTACATTAGCTGTGTGTAATGCTAACCTCTTCTAAAGTAAAACAAAGTTGTGCTGCACTCCAAACTATAGCAACAGTTTTCTTATAATCAGCCTTTGTCACACAATAAAAATCACCAGGCTTATAGAAAATATAAACAGACCACAAGTGTTCCATGTGTTGAACTAGTCACATTAAAATAATTATATGTAAGAAAAACACACATTCTTGAAAAAAAGGGTATGATATTAAATTTTAGCAGAGAACAAGAAATTATTAAAACGTACTAGGTGGAAATTCTAGAATTGAAAAAATAGTTAAAATCAAGAACCAAATAGATGTATTTAACAACAATTTAGTTATGGCTGAAGAGAAAAATCAGAAAGCTTAAAGATATGCCAAAGGAAAAGAAATAAATAAAGCATGAGAAGGAAAAGTGTGGCAAACACAGAAACGGTCTAAGAGAATATGGATATAATGAAAAAATGACATCATGGTAAAAGAAGTAAATTCTAGAAAAAAGAACCTAGAACAACACTTGCAATTAGATTCAAGTCATTTTTAATCTAGAATGCCCAACACATATTATAGTGAAATTTCTAAAAACAGAAGATGAAGAAAATGTTAAAACCAGTCATAGAAGAAATTCCCTTCAGGGAAGCAGCAACAAAAACACCCTGACTTCTCAGCAGAATCAATGTGAGCCAGAACACAATGAATTAACTTTAAATTGTTCTAAGAAAATGTCTATCTCTCTAAAATTCCATAGCAAGCAAAAATATCCTTCAAAAGAGAAAATTTTAAGAGATATTTCCAGATAAGCAAAAGGTAAGAAAATTAAGTACAAGGAACTCCAAAAACTCAATATTAAACCCAATTAACAAATGGACAATAGACCAAATAGACATTTCTAAAAGGAAAAGATATATAAATGGCCAACAGATAAAGAGTACATAAATGTTCAACCTCACTAGTCATCAGGGAAGTGTTAACCAAATCTACCAGTAACAATGCTTATTATTAAAAATACTAATGGTAATAAATGCTGGTAAAAATTCCCACTTTCGGTGGGAATGCAAATTAGTGCAGCCATTATGAAAAATAGTATGGAGTGTCCTTTAAAAATTAAAAATAGAACCAGAAATCCCACTACTGGGCATATGTCCAAAAGAAATGAAATCAGTATGGCAAGGAGACTTCTGCACCCTCATATCCATTGCAATACTATTCATGATAGCTGAACACTTGGAAACAACCAGTGTCCATTAACTCATGAATGAGTAAAGAAAATGTGGTACCCATATACAATGGAAAA